CCTTGTTGCATAGTTGAGCATCTTTTGGGTATATGCCCAGGAGTGGTATAGCTGGATCTTGAGCTAGAACTATCCCTAATTTTCTGAGAAAGCACCAGATTGATTTCCAAAGTGATTGTACAAAGTTTACATTTCCACCCCTAGGGAAGGTGCTTAATCCTCATTCAGAAGGGCAAACAAGATAGACATCTGAAGAGGGAGAAGACAGGAAACAGGACAGGAGTCTACCACAGAGGGCCTCTGAAAGACTCTATCCAGCAGGGTGTCTAAGCAGAGGCTGAGACTCTTAGCCAAACTTTGGGTAGAATGCAGGGAATATTATGGAAGAAGGGGGAGATAGAAAGACCTGAAGGGGACAGAAGCTCCACAAGGAGAACAACAGAGCCAAAAAATCTGGGCCAAGGGGGACCCCGCAGAAACTGAGGAATCCACCAAGGACCATGCATGAAGAGGTCCTAGATCCCTGCTGAGAGGTAGCCCATATGCAGCTCAGTCTCCAAGTGGGTTCCCTAGTAAGGGCAGTAGGGGCAGTCTCTGACATGAACTTAGGGGCCTGCCTCCTTTGATCACCTCCCCCCCAGGAAGTGCAGGCTTGCCAAGCCACAGAGGAAGATGATGCAGCCAGCCTTGATGAGATTTGATATGCTAGGGTCAGACAGTAAAGGAGGAGTACCCCCCCTATCAGTGGGGGTATAGGGGGAGAAGAGGGACAGAGGGTGGGTCTGGGAGGAGAGGAGGGTGAGGGCTACAGCCTGGATACCGGATACAAAGTGAAAAAATTGTAATAAATAATAAATGAATAAAATTTTTAAAATACCTGTAATGCTATGTTGTGTTGAAAACACTTCACAAAATAATTCACAGACACTTTTCCCCTTTTTAATATATGTGTATCATATGTGTGGGAGTGCACATGCGAAGGCCAGAAGGCAGCTTTGGTGTTGCTCTTTGGCTGCTCATTTCTTTTGAGACAGGCTAACTAGGTTAGCCTGTGTGGACAAGTATCCTGTCTGACATCCCCATCACTAGGATTTCAGGCCATGTTGAAACACCACGCTGCATGCTAGGTGCATTCTGGGAACAGAGCTTTATTCATGGAACCACTCCCGCAGCCCCATGTTTCCAGGGGTCACTATGAGCACAGTGCTGCCTCGCAGCTTAACTTTCTTAGGACTGACCCCACCAAAAATTGAAAGTCAACCAAACCTGAACTACTTCCTTCTTTCACTTTCACAGTAAAGCATTTACTGGGGGTGGAGGGTGGAGGATAGGTTTCTCTTGAATCAAGACAATTAAAAAAAAAAGTCCTTCAATTTGGTATTTTCCAACACTCCCTTTATCCTTAGAACCATGGCCTCTTTAAAGAGAATGCACAGCTCCCAAAGAAAGAATCTAGAAAGTGAACACATGCTTGCAAGCTCTGTGTAGGGTCATCCTTCCTAATATGCCCTAGTATCAAAGTGGGTCACAGTGTTCCTGAACCCAAAATACTGACTGACTTCTTCATTTCCTTCCTGTGTGACTCTAGGTAAGGAAAACCTGTGACTATTAGTTTTGATATCTGTATATAAAGGGCACTAGCTATGGCTTCCCCATAAGACAGAAAAATTATTTTCAACATGCTTAAGACAGTGCCTGGCTCAACTAAGTGTGGGCTATCACAATTATTTGTTTAAGGAAGAAAAAAAATAAATACTCTGATTTATAATGAAAATTCTCATATACTCTGTATATCTAAAATGAAACATTTAGTACAATTTTAATGTTGTTTATGATTGTGTTTTTGAGACATCCTAAATTCATAGCCTATTACAAATTTTCATAATCTTTTTCATGAGTTTGTTTCAATTAACTTATTAAGTATGAAGTTGTGAAATGTGTTTCTAAATGCAAGAAAACTGTCATTTTGAACTGAAACAGTTTCTCAACTAAGAATGAAAGAGTTTGTCTTCCCCCCTGATTTTTAAAAACTGACAGCAGGGTTTGTCTTCTATACATTAGGCCTTGTTGCATTCTATCCATAACTATTCTTATACTTAATAAGTATTACACCAATCGGTGAACAAGGCATTTAACCCATTTATGTTATTAATTTCGAAAGTAAAAATGGGTACAATTCAGCCTATGCAAAAGGCATTTTAAAGATGATGCAGTCGGGCTCTCGGCTCACATAGGTCAAGGGACATTTGAGTTTCTTCCTTATAAACTCTACCTTAATAAATAGCTGGGGAGATTTTATGTCTATGAAGGAAGGGAAGAAATAAGCAATAAAAAAGAATGGACTCCGGGTCTAGACTATCAAGATACTTGTGGTCCACGAGATAAACTATCTCAAAGCTGTTCTTCTCTGTTAAGTTTATCACTCTGGGAATAATATGACCATAAAGTCTTACCTTAGAAAATACTCTGAAATTCAAAGATCTCACATACAGCCCATCTGTTCTTTGCATGCTCTGAAGGCCCTGTGAAGTTAGCCAGCATCATGCTATAATGCAAACCCCACTTGATGACTATGTGACTATAAAAAAACCCTAACTAGTATTCTGAAATAAACAAAATATCTTAGTCTTATCCATCTACCTTAGAATACACACGAGGAAGTTTCCTATTCATTTAAGATTCTTTTTCTTAGTAGTTAGTCAATAATAGATAGTAAATTTCAAGGAATTAATCAGAGAAAAATCATGCACTGCGATTCAATGAAGTATCTTGTGTGGGTTTCCTAGATTGCCAGTAATATGATCTACTTTCATATCATGTATACATGTGTAGTTATCTCTCTACTGTAGCAGTGCAAAAAGCCACATTTTTTTCTCAAGAAACAAAATATATTTCAGTACTCCACAGACTTAGCCATTTTTAAACATTCAGTTAAGTCTACCAAGAATCTGATCAGATATGCCTTAAAGTTGCCAAGAAATGTGATTGAACCCACATCCCTCAATTTCATTTTTTTTTTTCTAATAGTCTCACTCTTGAATATCTTAGAAGAGCAGGCTGGTGTTCCCATTCCCCCAGATCATTAACAAGGATTCTTTAAAAGTCAAATGAAAAGCATTGATAAGGTAATTGTTTCCTTCACTCTTTCTGACTAGTCAGTAAGCAAACATGCTTGGAAAACTTAACTGTGAGATAAGGGATGAAAGTGAATTTGGAAACAGTTTTAAATGATGCATAGATCGAGTCTCTTCAGAATGGGGGGTGCACAAAAAGGATGGTCAACCAGCAGGAAGCTGAATGTGTCAAGTGGCGAGCACTGGAGTCGTTTTTCTGGAATACGTCTGTAGGGGCTTGTGTAAGAGGGAGACTTGGAGACACAAGGCAAGGAAGAGAAAGGTGAAAGCTGAAGGTGAAAGAAAGGGAAGACAACTGCCAAGAGGTTCATTCCTTTCTCCAAAAGTCTGAGTAGTGCCAGGGGAAAGAGAAGAGCATATTAGACAGAACCCTAACTGTGATGAACAACTGCTCGGAGACAGTGCCACCCCATGCAGAAGCAAGCCGCAGGGTTGGCTTTGTGGGGACATATAGACACTCTGAGGTGACCTCCCCATTCAGAGGAGAACTGAGTTATTTCCCTACTGGACCTTCATCATTCTCAGAGTCTTTGTAGCTACACAAATAAGCCCCACATTAAAAACAACACCTGAAGCAGCAAAACTAAAAAAAAAAAAAAAAAAAAAAATGCACATGTACAGGACCAACTACTGAACTGTCTAACTTCTGGTTGGTTTAAGAACAAAGAACTCTCTAGTCTAGATAGCCGTGTTTTAATTATATATTAAAAGCTAAGTGTGGGACGCACTTGTATTTATTCATACACCCTGCACACTCATGTAAAGAGTGAAACAGATAAAACTTTAAGATACGATTTTAACATTACTCTCTTCAGCTTTTTTTTTTTTTTCCCCTGTGACTCATTCAGTCCTGACAGGTAAGACTTTAGACACCTGAGCAAAATCTATGTTTTGATAATTCTATAAAATGTGCTCTCACTGGTGAATAACCAAGAGGTGTCTGTCCCACACAATGCTAGACAGTTGAAAACAATGACAGTGAGATGTTTACTTTTCTTTGGAGCTGGGCTTTAAAAAAAAAAAATCAGATTGTCAACAACACCCCACAACCGATCAAGAAAAAATGTGACGTGCTATTTAAAATATTGACACTATTGCACGACTTGATTAGACGGACTGTGCAGTTAACCCAGCGCCCACCGGTGCATATTGAAATTTCCCAGTATTAATCTTATCTGTGCTATTCTTTACTGTTAAAACACTTGTGCGGTCATAAATGTTGCATAAATGGCATGTTTATGCACACCGCACGTTGACACTTTTTTATGAATGGAGACAAATAAATGCTCCTAATCTGAGAAAGTGGGTGGCAGGATACCATCCTGGAAAGGGTCGTTAAGTCTCCAGAGCAAATGATGAGGTGAACTGTGAGCGTCTTTTGGTCCCACTCAGGACAACTGTATTCCAAATCCCCTTGCCAGGTTGTGTGTTGGAAACCGCCTTGGAGCGCTTTCCTTAGAGACCTGCTCTACCTTGCTCCCAGGAACCAAGACCTCTCACCACCGAGGAATAAAACGCATGTATGCCTGTATTCTGAAGACTGTATTCTAAAGACAACACACTCCCCAAGTCTTGTCCGACAAGTGTGTGCCTGCGAGAGCGCCGTTTACCAACAAATGAACAGAACAGAAGGCTCCAGGGGCGCCTCTCCTACATAAACAGTTCTCACCCGTTTTTGGTCAAGGCAGGCTCTTCAGGGGCTCATACTTGTGTGTCTTCCCCCACCCAGGAAGAACCCTGGCGTTAATAACCCGGTCAGGGCTAACATCCCAGTCAGCTTTGCATGGAAGTCTACTGGGCGCCATATGGCAGTTTCCAGTTCCTTTAGCAACTCAAGTCTGGCTAGGCTGTCACAGCGAAGCATCTCTAAAGAAGAGCTCCTGGGGGGCGGGGGGGGGGGGAGGAAGCAATGCCTGGACCACTTACCTAGCTCCCACTGACCCGCTCCATTCGGCCAGCAGCATTGGTTCCTGTGTCACAAGGGGCTGTGGGATTCCCTGCTCCCTCAGGGGGCTCCACTCCTGCGAAGGTCCCTTTCACCAATGATGTGTCGCTGGAAATCCCCCTCCCCTCTACAGAGAGCAGGGTCTCCCCGGCTGGCTGGAGCTCCTGGCGGCTTTCCTTCTCTCTTTACATCCCTCACTCCGGTTCGCAGTCTCTAGTAAGGAGGCTCACGGAAGACGCATTGGGAAGAAGCGAAGGCATCTTTTTTTTTTTTTTTAAAGAACAATAATCTTCCTCGATCGTCACCCCTTTTTTCCTCGTGGAGACCCCATCCCCCTGCCGCCGCCGCCGCCCAGATCAGAGAGGGCTGGAGTGAGATGGAAAAGATACAGCTAGATAGATCAGGAGGTGCTCCGCGCGCCGCACCAGCCCTGGACTTGGCGCTGGATCCCGCTGCTCGAGGCGCGGCGGCGGCCAGCGGGGGCGGCGGGTGCTCCTTGGCGCTCGGTGGGTGTGTGTGTCTGTGCAGCGGCAGCGGCAGCGGCGCTGGCTGCGCGCGAGAAGCCGGGCGGGGCGCTCGGGGCGAGGGTCCTCCGCCCCGCAGCAATCCGGCCGGGGCGCGCACACTCGCCCGCGGCCACCCAGCCTTGCGCTCCGCCTCCCCGCGCTCCGCGCACCCGCGGGCTGAGCAGCCGCCGCGGCCGCCGCCTCCCCTCTGTGTCTCCTCCTCCCGCGGCTCCCAGGCAATCGCGGCTCCCCGGGGTGGGCGGCGGGGGGCTGCACTGCTGGCCGGGCACCTGGAGGGGAACGCCAGGCTCGGCCTCGCGGCGCCGGAGCACTGCGCTCAGCGGGGCGACAGCGCCCCCGGTGCCCAGGGCGCGGCCAGGGCGCGGGCGATCGGGCGCCGCCCACACCTCGCCGGGATCCTCCCTCAGCGGCTGCTGCCGCCTGAGTCCGGGCTCCACACCCACCTGCCTCTCTTCCGAGCTTGCAAGCAGCTGCCATTCAGCAAGGGGTCCACAGCCCCGCGGCCACTTAACGCACGCGGCCAGGGAAGCCCCGGGAAGCCCGCCGAGATGCCCTCGCGGATTCAAGGGTTTCTTGGCTTTTCTCCTCCAGCTGCTGTGTTCTCCTGCCTCCCGACCCCTAAGCAACCAGAATCCGGGCTCCTTGCTCCATCCTGAAGAATGGGCCCCAGAGTATTTTCCGGTAAAAGAAGCTTCGGGGATAAGCGGGAGCCCAGGGGGGATTCTGACTTCACCCCGGAATCCTCCAGCTCCACTTGGGACCATCCTCACCCAGTGACAGGAGTCACTCACTGTCTTTTCTGCCTTTAAGGCTAAGGCTAGGTGGGAGGCCACTCTGACTCTTGCTTCCCGCGGGGGCGCTGTTCATACCCTGGTTTGCTTGCTTTAGCGGTCTATTTATTGGCTGGAAAACCATGACAAGTTCTCCCTTAGTGAGAAGGCCTTAAGGTGGATACCCCAGGCCCTTGCCCAACTTCAGGGTGTAATAAAGACAACGAACTTGAGCAAAATTACTGGGCTTCGCAGGTTTCCGACTTAGGTGCACCTTGATAGGTGGAAAATTAAACAGTCGAAATATTTGTGTGTCTTTCAAGAAAACATGTAACCTAAAAAGCCCTTTCTTTCGAAAAGGCATGAGACTGTATTCCAAGTTGGGACCCCAACATTACGTTTGATCAACATTGTCTAGATACTGTGTTTAAAATACATCGCATCCAGTCCTTATGTAGAGGAGGAGGCCTGACCTTCCGGAATTCACTGAGTCTTGAATTCCTGCCTCTCTGGGGCTTACCTTGTGGTGAGGGGTCTTTTGGGGGCTGCCAGATTTGCTGGATGTTTACCCTGGGAACTGGTTCTTCTAACTCCCTCATTCTCCAACAAGAAACTTGCCTTGGCTCCTGCCTTCCTCTCCTCAGGACTACTGAAGCCTAATCAGCCGCATTTCCTACTCTTTGGCTCTTCAGTGAATCCCCCTAGACATACAGCGCACGTTGGCTCAGCTTTTAAAAGAGACACACAGGGCCTTATGGCTTTTATGGAATATGTGTATGTCAATGTATCGTCGTAAACTGTAAGCTCCTCCAGGAATGAGTTCAAAATGCCTTTGCTGTTTTCATGCCTTCAGTGGAACCCAATGTCACCTATTTATTCAGCAAACACCTGTTTCACAGATCTTTTTCCGTTCGTTATTTGTCAGTTGAATAAAATCTATAAAAAATATTAAGTCTAGAGAGACATTTTGGCATTTATTATGGGTATACTGAAACTTCAATGGAACAGGAAACTTTTTAATTTTTTAATAATTTATTAATTTTACATCCCAGTTGTAGGCCCCTCCTTCGTGTCCTCCTCATCCCACCCTTCCTCTCTCTTTTCCCCTATCTCAGTCCCCTAGTTCTCAGAAAGAGGGAAGCCCTTCTCCCTTACCAACTGATCCCAGATAATCAAGTCTCATCAGGACTGCCTGAATCCTCTTTCTCTGTGGCCTGGCAAGGCCGCCTCGCCAGGGGAAGGTGATCTGTGGCCTGCAAAGAGCACATAGTTCATATTAGAGCCAGCCCTGGTCCCCTTTCTAGATGACCCACATAGAAACTGAGCTGCCTATGGGCTACATCTGAGCAGGGGGTCTGGGTCCTCTCCTTGCATGGTCCTTGGTTGGTGCATCAGTCTCCGCAGGCCATCCCCCCACCCCACCCCCCGGGGCCCAGATTTGTTGGCTCTGCTGGTCTGGTCTTCCTGTGGAGCTCCTGTCCTCTGCTGGTCTTTCTATCCCCCCATTTCTCCAAAGACTACCTGCATTCTGCCCAAAATTTGGAGCACAGTAAACGTTTTATACACTTAAGAATGATTATGAAAACCTCTCTTTGTTAGACCTACATCAGCAATACTTTTGATTCCCTCTGGGAGAACTTAAATATTTGGTAAATAAATTTAAAAAAATGTTTAAAATATTTACCTTAAATTTGGGTTAGATTTGAGGAAATGAAAACCATTTGTCTACCATGAAAATGATGTTAGCCCAGTTGCAAAGTTGCCATTTTCTGGGCTACAAGGTGCTAGGTGTTTCTTACCCATCCAGCCCAGTTGTGTGCCTGAGATGCAGAGCTAAGAAAACAGTCTCAGGCTGGGCAGTGGGATCTGGTCCTGCTTACTGGGCTACTCGCTGCAGAATGGCTTAGAGAAAAATAAAGCATTGTGCACTAGTTGTTATGGCAGGGTTCTCCCAAGGAACAACACTTTGGTTCCAACTGACAGCAAAAACTCCTGCATTCATTATCGTCACTTGGTTGAGCCTCTTTAGTGCATAAATTTCCATTTTCTCCAAAGGAAAAATGTAACATGATGTAGTTGAAAAAACAGCCATGTTTTCATATTGCTTTCTTAAATCCTTTTTTAAAATCTTTACTGAGATTTATAGAACCGTTCTGTTTGCTTATATTTTAATTTCTCAAATTCATCCTGCAATATGATGGAATTCAATATTAAAGAATAGAAATGACTGTTTAGAATGACTGTTTAGTGTATTGTGAAAATGCCGCACTGGTATAACTTGCTAACACAATTAATAGTAGTATAAGGTTAGCCTTGTAACTGCTGATTTTATTTCCTCACATGAGGAGATGAGATGAGAGCTGTTCCCAAGCTATGCAAATACACGGCTTGGGCTGAGCCCAGAGCATTTCTTTCTCTCCTCTAGATATCTCTAGGCCTAGAAGCTTCTAGCATCCATACAATCTAATCTTCTGCAAGCCCGAATCTTGAAGGTTCCAGCTTCCAGCTTCTGTCTGCTAACCTGGGCTTAGAATGTTTCAGCCTCCGAGACTTACTGCTCAGTAAATTCACCCTTTCTAGCTATTTCTGAATTCTCTCTGGATGGTTCAGTTCAGCTATTCTGGCTCAAAACTCCTCTCCAAGCTGACCGATTCAAACTGGCTTCTCTCCACTTCTCACTGAATTGTTCTGGTTGGAAAACCTGCCTCTAAACTCCATGAACTGAACTGCACAAACTCAACTGAACTGCACAGAACTGTACTGTACTGTGTCCACAACTCCACCCCCTCTCTCTGCACTGCTCTTAAGCTGCTTCTCTTTCCAGTCTGTTTTCATGAGAGTTAGCTGTAACTTATCTCTGACTCATTCTGTCAAGTCTTTCTCTGACTAGTCACTTAGCCTGTCCCTGAATAGATGTCATTGTTGGGAATTAAAGGTGTGCCCTAAATTCCAGCCAGAGGGATTAAAGATATGTACTAATGGCTATTAAACAGTGTTGTTTCTGTTGCCAAGCTTCCAAAAATACTCAACTGTAATCACTAATCCACGGAAATTAAAGAACTTTCTCAGACCACAGGTAATTGCAAGATTATTCCCATCTGTAACAACACACTTCAAATCTTCTCTCCCTGCTTCATTTTTTAATTCTAGTTTGTATTGTATTTTTAGGGTATCTCGAAATCTCTAAACCCCCATTCCTGAGGAATCAATATAATCAGAGGATCCTTCCAACCGTACATCATTAACTGAAGGTAACAGCTGGGGCGTGGCATTGTTGCAGAAAGTGGGGAAGAATTTGGCTTAGGCTGAAGAGAGCTATAACAGCCACAGCATTTTTCACAGGCAGGCTTTGTATCATTTGGAAGCAAAGGTTCTGCTTGCTATTGAAAACCGTTTCCAGGACCACCTGGGTTTTGTCTGTTTGGTACCTGCAGCTCCCCTAGAACAAAACCAACTTCTTTGGGGCTAGCAGAGGCAACAGGGGTTGAGAAACCATCAGTCTCAAGGTCTGCATTACCTCTGAAGTTCTGGTCTGAACCCCAGATTTCATGTTTCTGTCCTGCTGGCACCATTCTCGATGACCAACTCTACAGTTTGTGGCACACCATTTAGAGACTTTGAACGGTAATAGAGAAAAATTTTCCACCATATTTTGATCTATGTGACTCTGTTTTCTTTGGAGTAGAATCTGTGGTGAGCTCATTTGAGCTGCTCCCAGCACCTGCTCTTCTGCTCAGCAGTGGGGGGGGGG